ATCAGCAGCGTCCCGAGCCTCTCTCACCCAATCCTCGAAGAAGCAGCACCCGTGCCGAACAGCAGCACATGAACGAACGCACAACCGTCATGCATTTCAAAAGTTGCACTCTGAAGCAGCCTGAGCCGAGCACACTCAGAGAGTTCAAGAAAGATCGCTACCCAGCACCAACACTGCTCACCGCTGGTCTGAGGCAACCCGGGACGATGCCGCCGAAGGATCCCGGCCGGTGACCACCAAAATTTCGCCCAGCCGGGCTGGGAGGCGAATTGCAGTGATTGGGGAGAGGGGAATGGCAGAGAGGCGGGGCGAAGGCGAGAGGGGAACAGCGGCGAGGGCCGAGGTTTCCGGAGTCGTAATGGAGAGAAGAGACGGGGTTAATGGCTGAGATCTTGGCTGAAAGTAGGAACAGGGAGGAGGAGCGGGGTTTTTGCGAGAGGGGGTACATCTTCGGTCTTCCATGCTCAGCATGAAACTTCTTGTTGAGTGGAAGTTGGTTCATTACGCAGGGCTCAGCTTCAAGCTCCGAAAATCGCAATGCTGTCCGGCTAAGGTCCCAAGTGTCTTGTTCAATGCTCGTTCAACCCACATCACACCCGTCCACCGTAGAGCCCGCCCCGGTATCTAATCCCTACCTCCATGCAAAGCAATAAATCCTTCCCAGTCAATAACCCAGCCACTCCCCCTCCGTTACAGCAACACCCGAAATCTGAACACCCATCTCCGAACCCCACCCCACCTCTATACCTCACCGAACAACTGCAACCCCCTCCCCCCCCTTCCCCTCTAGCTTGATCGGGAAGAGTTGAGCGGCAATTATAAGAACTCCGATCTGCTCAGCGGGCTCATACACGGCTCGCAAAAAATTTTTCCTTCTGATTGCCGGTATGGCCCCCCACGGCAGATGGCGGGAGTTTGAATCTGGCAGGTGGGATGGAGGTGATATATAGCGGATTTCGTTCGAGACAAGGGAGGGAGCGGAGAAGTGGATTTAAGGACTAAATGGCGTAGATCCTTTGTCGGCCGGCCAGATAATGTGTATATGTAGGGGAAAGGGGGAGCGGTATTGAATGGGAAGGATGAGGAAGTATGCTCCTGGTTTTTACCGTAGAACCTGGGTAGGGGAAAGCGAAATACTGCTTGCTTGCACAGTGCTGTTATAGTAGGGGTAGAAAGGGGCCTAAATATTGTTTGCTGGCATGATTTGGGGGCACGGTAAAGAAGGGAAACGAGGGTACAAGTCAGAATCACGAAGCAAAAACTAGAGACATCCGTGTTTATGAAGCTGATGCCTAGGTGAAGCTGACGGCAAATAACTTCGACTGGATTTACACAAAAATTGCACACAATTTTATTGTGTTGCCTCCGGCAGCCTGCAAGTGTGCACAACAATTATACTTCTGTTTTTTGTCTTCAAAACCTCACAGAAGCAAAGGCTGACTTCGTCCCCATGCATCCACTACCCTGTTTTTGCTCGCTCCTGCGAATTATTCGCCCTCAGCTTTAAATATGCATCAGCTTCTTTAATAGGGAAGTCCCCCACTGACGACGGGTTTTTACGGAACAATTTCCACTAGCAAGATCTCAGTTTTTTGCTTTTGTTCTTAAAGCCAAATTTGCTTCAGTTCACTTTTCTTTGTGGCACTGTGTTGTCTTTTTCTTTTTACTGTTGTCTCCAGTTC